AAGTTTTATGAAACAACATAGAAATCATCGATAGATACAGCGATAGCAGGCGGCTCGACACCTGCGAGGCACTACACATCAAAAAGTCAACACCAGCAATCAACAGCCAATTAATGCACAACTATATTCACCCACGAAATTGAAATTGAAATTGAAATAAGTTTATTGAGGTAAAATACACACAAAGGGATGAGGTAGCTCAAGCTATTCTCACCCCATTCAGTACAACGTGTTAATATATACATAGACACACATCACAAATAAACACATTACCAAACATTCTGAGAGGTAAAAATATACATTTCCTCCTTCACAAGTAGTATGGTATCAGACGTACACACAAATACTTTTATGACCTAGGTATACTGTATAGACAATTTGCAAGACACCTGCAGATAATTCAACAAAATATTACAATCTTGGTGCAAAATTCTTATATCTCTCAAGAATATCATCAACCTTTCCGTTGTGACACATCCAGGCTATTTGTTCAGGAACAGTCCTTATCTCAGTGTTTCTATATACATTAATCAACGGACAATCAAGAATATAATGGGCAAGGGTGTGAGACCTTAACATACCACATAGTTTACACTTCGTGTCATTATCATGAACATCTATCCCATAACTCGACCACTCTCTTGGAACAGTGCAATTATAATTCCCATTCCAAAACCTAAAGACCCAGGAAATCCAAGACCCATCTCATTAACAAGCTGTCTGGTCAAAACTGCAGAAAGAATGGCCCTTAATCGAATTGAATGGAAAGCCAATCCACTACACCAAAATATGTTTGCTTACAGAAAAGGAGTTGGAACCACAAAATGCCTTACCTTCCTCCTGGATCAAATCAATGACAAACCTGGAATCCTTATTTTTCTAGACCTTTAAAAAGCCTTCGAGTTAGCCAGTGCTCCAGCTACACTGTGCTGCCTTGTGGATAAGGAAATCAAAGGACACGCTCTTGCCTTTCCCAAAGGAAGCCTGCTTAATCGAGAAGCTAAAGTCAAATTCCAAGGAAAAATATCGACCTCAAAGAGGCTGGAAAATGGAACTCCGCAGGGAGGAATACTAAGCCCCTTCCTCTTCAACTGTCTTATGGAACAATTCATGAAGCTCAAGCTGCTACCAAAAGTCAAATTTCTTAACTACGCAGACGACTTTGCGGCCATCATCATTGGCAAAGGTGCAAGGAACTATGCACTAAAATGCCTAGATGTTATCAGCAGGGAAGCGGAACGCATAACAGTGAAAATAAACAGCAATAAAACAAAAGCTATGGCCGTTAAAATGAGAACTCAAGACATCAGACTCGCAATACAAGGACATGAAATTGAGTGGGTTACCTCTTTTCAATACCTCGGAGTCATAATAGACAACCTGTTGAAATTCACTCAAAAAATTGAATATCTTCAGCAACGCTGTAAAGACAGAAACTCAGCTTTGCGCTCCCTGACCAGTCTTAGAGATGGTGCATCTCTACCAGTACTCAAAATGTACTACGTTCAAGCAGTTAGGTCACTCATTGACTATGCTGCCCCTGCTCTTACATCCCTCAGTGATAACCAATGGGAGAAACTGGAAGTGTCTCAAAATGATGCTCTGAGAACAATGCTGGGAGCACCTATATGGACGCGTCGAGAGAGTCTAAGAATGGAAACCAATCTGCCAGCATTAGAAAACGGGATCAAACAAAGAATAGCCACCATAGAAGCATAACTTATTTGAACAACCGCCAGACTGTCAATCAAAGACAGCATACAGAGATCCTTTCAGAAGAACATTCAATGTAGAACAAGCTCATGGATGGATAATCTAGTCAAGATTTTAGAGAAAGTGGACCTGAAATGGACCATCAAAAACAAAGGGAAGATATACCATATCAACACTTTCGGCAGCCTCCTCCATGAGAAGAATCGAATCTAAAGATAATCATTGAAGGATTACCAGTTAGAAAACCAGCATGTGACCCGGAGAGGCTCAAGGAAGTAACAGAACGACAAATGGAAATCATCTCAAGACCTACAACGACTCACATCTTCACAGACGGATCAGTTGATCAAGAAAGAGGTTCTGCTGGGGCAGCAGTTTACACTACCAACCATGAAGCTTACTGGAGCATGAATAGTGGGTGTTCAACATTGCAAACAGAATTATATGCCCTGAAAGAGGCAATAAACTATACAATTGAGAATAATTTACATGATGTCATCATTCATACAGACTCTAAATCTTCGCTCTAGGCATTGTTATCCAGTCAGTACAGAGATAATATACAACTCCTCACAGAAATTCAACATATAGGAAAAAAGCCCATAATCTAGGGCTGTCAATCACCCTAAATTGGATACCAAGTCACATTGGCATAGATGGTAATGAAAAGGCAGACTCACTAGCAAAAACTGCCACTGCTCTACCTGTTGTACAGGTTCAAATACCTCCAAGTTTCTCACAGATTAAGGAGCAAATCAAGAAGAAAATATTCTCAACTATCAAAAGTCGTCACAGAGCCAAAGTAGCGGAAGTAAGATCCACTGCTATATGGTACGAACAAGCCACTGGTGACTCCTCTTTCAAGCCTGTCAAAAAGATATCCAGAGACATTGCAGTAGTCATACACAGACTCAGACTTGGTTACAAGTGCTGCTGGGAGGTAATGAACCCAATAGTTAAAGAGTGTCACTTCTGTGAAACAGAAGCAGAGGCGCCACTATTGCACTACTTACTGGAATGTGAAGCTACTGAAGCCCTGCGCATCAAACTCAAAATTAATCCAACGACAGCAGCTGCATTAGATGCACATTCCACCGCGACTACAATGATTAGAAAAGGAATGGGAATGGGACTCATTCGTTGAGGAATGAGTCCCATGAGTCATGGGACTCATGAGTCATTCCTCGAATGAGGAATTGACATCCTCATTGAATTGAGGAATTCCTCGAATGAGGAATTGAGGAATGACTCATTCCTTGAATGAGTCATTCCTCGTTGAGGAATGGGACTCATTAGTGAGCATTCTGCATCTACATCCGCCTCCAAGATAATGTTAATAAAACAAGACTAAAACCAGACTAAAACCAGAACATTAAAAGAGAAGCGATAAATAAACAGGGGAAAAAGGAGGAATCCCCTCCTCCATTTTAAACTTAGACCCATATATCACAGAAACAAGGTTATCGCGAATAACCGAACTCAATTACGGGCTCACTATAGTCCATGCTACATGGACACTTCGTTCTGAGTAGCTAAATCTGAAACAACAACAACAACAGCGAGTATAAATATGGAAGCATATGGCGTGGTTACAGTTGTGAGTGTAAACTTAAGTCTTTGAAAATGTAATAGGTAATTACGAAACGCGTTTAGGCGACGCGTCAGACTAGAAATAAAAATGAAATTTGGAGAATTGATTTTTCAGTTACCATCGACAGTAATAAGAAACATAAGAATTATTAATCTTACTTTTTCGGTCATATTTAACAACATATGTTTACAAGAAAGACTGCTACCAAAATATACTAATATATATATATATATATATATATATATATATATATATATATATATATATATATATATATATATATATATATATATATATATATATATATATATATGTCGTACCTAGCAGCCAAAACGCACTTCTCAGCCTACTATGCAAGGCCCGATTTGCCTAATAAGCCAAGTTTTCCTGAATTAATATATTTTCTCTAATTTTTTTCTTATGAAATGATAAAGTTAACCCATTTCATTATGTATGAGGTCAATTTTTTTTATTGAAGTTAAAATTAACATAGATATATGACCGAACCTAACCAACCCTACCTAACCTAACCTAGCCTATCTTAATAGTTTAGGTTAGGTTAGGTAGCCGAAAAGTTAGGTTAGGTTAGGTTAGGTAGGTTAGGTAGTCGGAAAACAATTCATGCTTATTAGGCAATTCATGCTTATTAGGCAATTTGCTTATTAGGCAAATCGGGCATTGCATAGTAGGCTGAAAAGTGCGTTCTGGCTACTAGGTACGACATTATATATATATATATATATATATATATATATATATATATATATATATATATATATATATATATATATATATAAATATATATATATATAATTAGATAATTAGATAATTTTACAGTAGTTTACCTTCACAATAGTTTCAAGTGTTTGAAACAAAAAATGCAAATGTATATCTATACAAGGAACACATATGTTTGTCAGAGATTAGAGGTCAGGCATTTGAAGGTAGCCTCACCTAACTTTGCAGTGTGATTCCTGAGGGGCAGGTAACCAACATGGGAGGGTCTGGGTTGCCCATATTGCTTACATAAAAAATGTGGTCGGATTACATACACCCCTATTTTAATGGGTAGCGACTCTGGTGCCATCTCGTTATGCTAAAAAAAATTAAAACAATTATCATAAAACATTATGCAATTACTCCACCAAAATGTGACAATTTCTACTAATCTTGTTTTGCCTATAGTATGATGAAAAAATTTTGATGCAAAGAAGTCACTCATGGGCCTAATCCATGCAATGTTGTGGACGTATTTACTTTTATTGTGATGTCACACATAATATACATGCCCAATTATTATCATTATACTGTTGTCCTCAACTGATCCCTGTTGACTAGTCAGTAAACTATTCAAGTGGCTCTAATATATTTATTTATTTATATATTTATTAATATACATGAAGGTACATTGGGTTGTGAGAGTACATAAAATTTATGTTTTTACATTCTTGCAAAGTCACAAATATACATAGTACTTGGGGCAGGAAAAGCTTATAATATTATCGTTTTAATAACATTAATAATAACGTAATTATCATAAACGCTAATAACCCTCCAGAGGTAATTAGCCTTGAGACAACAACAACAACAAACCAAGCATAACTGAGAAGTTTCATTGATACACAATTCAGGAATACAAATATGAGTACAAGTGTTCTTTATTTTTCTGTTAAGAACAAAACTGAATCTCCGACAGAGTGCGAGATGAAGAAGAAGTGCGTTAAGAAGGGAGGTTCCTGCAAGAACAAGTGTTCAAGGGGGGAGTCAGAGGTCAAGAAGGGCTGTAAAGGGCGGAATTGCCAGTGTTGTGTGGTGGCCGGTGGAGGTAAGTGCCAGTGTTATGTGGTGGGCGGTTGAGGTAAGTGCCAGTGCTTTGAGGCAGGCAGTGGAGGTAAGTTCAAGTGTCATGACACAATGGCATCCTTCCTTTTGAGACAAGGTGCAAGGTTCCAGCTCTGGTTCACTCAAGGTTCCAGCAATGGTTCACTCAAGGTTCCAGCCCTGGTTCACTCAAGGTTCCAGCAATGGTTCACTCAAGGTTCCAGCCCTGGTTCACTCAAGGTTCCAGCAATGGTTCACTCAAGATTCCAGCTTTGGTTCACTCAAGGTTCCAGCCCTGGTTCACTTAAGGTTTCAGCTATGGTTCACTCAAGGTTCCGGCTCTGGTTCAATTAAGGTTCCAGCTCTGGTTCACTTAAGGTTCCAATCCTGGTTCACTCAAAGTTCCAGCTCTGGTTCACTTAAGGTTCCAACCCTAGTTCACTCAAAGTTCCAGCTCTGGTTCACTTAAGGTTCCAATCCTGGTTCACTCAAAGTTCAATTCAGTGTGCCGTCAATTATTTAGTAGTTCCTGTTGTCCATAAACACGAGGAAAGGAAAATTAATACTGTCGACAACAATTAAACACTTCATCAGAACAGTTTAAGATTGTTAAAAGAAACTGGGGAATTATGAAGTATACGTTGAGATGATTGGAACCTGGTCTTGGTTCCAATCTGCAGGAACAAATTGGTAATAATACATTAGAAGTTTGTTCATCTATATAAATATTGATGGAAATGTTCCAACCTAATACATGGAAATGTTCGTGTGTTCAAAATCGCTAATCTCCGAAAGTTCTTCACCGATTGCTTTGAAATTTTCACACAACGTTCCATTCGCATCCGAGCAGGTTTATATATGCATACTATATAGATGTCACGTCTGTGACGGTAAAAAAAAAAAACATGCTTTTTTCTGAAAAACTTTTTTTTCATGTGTTTTTCATGTGAGTGAAATCTTAGAAACCTCTTTACCGATTGCTTTGAAATTTTGACACAACGTTGCATTCGAAGAGGCCCGTCTTTTTATATATCTACTATATACATGCCTCACCTGTGGCAAGAAAAATCATGCTTTCTTGAAAAACAGCGCCATCTGTTGGACGTAAGAGCAACACACACCGCAATCTCCGAAAGTTCGTCATCAATTGCTTAGAATTTTTGACACAACGTTGCATTTGAATAGGCGCGTCTTTTTATATACCTACTATATACATGACTCACCTGTGACAGGTAAAAACATGCGTTTTTTTAAAAACAGCGCCATCTGTTGCACATAATGGCAACATGCACACAATACTAAATATGTCACTATTTCCATTTCAGTGTTTTCGATTGCATTGATAAATTTTTGTTTTCATAGATTTCGATTTATTTTATTTGTTATTGAATTATTTTGTATGACATTGTGTTGGAATTGAGCTGTGTTGTTTACCATACCGTTCATTTCGTTAGTATAAGTATAGATGCCACACTTTTGACAGGTAAAACTGTGCTTTTCTTGAAAAACAGCGCCATCTGTTGCATGTAGGAGCAACACACATGCTATACTAGATATGTTACAATTCCATCTCAATGTTTCTGATTGCATTGATAAATTGAATTTTCATAGATTTTTATTTATTTTCATTTTGATTTAATTATTTTGTGTGAATTGCGTTGGAATTGAGCTGTGTTGTTTACCAAACCGTTCAATTCGTGAGTATAGATTATTTTTATATTGTTTCGTATTTTATTTTCATTTTTTAACTGTTTTTGTTATATTTCAGTGATGGGAACATCAGATCACTTGATGTTCCCACTTTTCTGATGGGAACATCAGACCATTTGGGAAGGCATCAGACGAGGCAGTGGGGAATGGTGGGGATGACGAGGGGACGGAAGTGAGAGATGGTGGGGAGGACGAGGGGACAAGGGAGGGGGTAATGGTCATGAATGACGAGGGGACAGGGAAGTTTGGGATGGTGGGGGCGAGGGGATGGGGGAATGAAGAACGGGGGGGCAAGACAAAGGGACAGGGGAGTGGGGCATGGTGGGAAGGAAGAGGGGATGGTGGATTGGGGAATGGTGGGGAGGACTGGGGGACAGGGAAGGTTGCTGTGGCTCAGCAATGCACACGCGTTGCTGAGCTACAGCAACGCGTGGCTGGGTACTGCTAGTTAAATAATAATTCACAACAAACCACATAACCTGGGTACATACCTAAATTCCTTAAGGCTCACTTGAACCTCTACTAATATACCTCAAATAAAATCAAAGTTATACAAGACACTGTTGAAGCATCACTTGAAAATATTTCCTCACTACCTGGCTTTACTAAAATGAATTAACTCAAAAACCACCGTTGAATGTGATGAAACGCCCTTTTGTGGGGGAGGGGGGGGGGGCGGAGGCCCCCTGAAGCTAACAAACTGATGTGCTTAACTAGTTGGGGTCATCAGCCACTGGACTCCTTAGACCAATCGGGGACCACGAACCAGAACCTGGTCCCCTCAGAGAGATGCAGAGAGCAATGGCATATGAGCAATTTACATTTAAAGTATATCATATTCCACCATCGTCCGGGGCATATACACAGAGATAGGCGAACCAAAACAAACAACTACGTGGTAAAATAGCGACCTACAGCCCAACCAAGCCAATAAAATTCTCCAGAAGAAAATAAATTAATCGAAACTAGCAACTATGCCGGATAACCAGTACTCCTGCTCGTTAGCGGAACTTCCCCGCCAGGGACCAAGGACGAAGAGCAGCCAGCTCAGGCAAGTCCACCACCTGACAATTGAACGGAAGCTACAGGAATCATACTAAACCCAGGAGAGGCAAAGAGAGCAAAAGGCCATCAGTGAAATAGAAAGAAATCCGAAATATTTTTTCTCCTATGCAAAATCAAGATCAAAAACCACATCTATTATCGGGCCCCTGCGAAACGGAGATGGAACTTTCACCGATGACAACAAAGAAATGAGCGAGCTACTGACGACGCAGTACGACTCTGTTTTCAGCGAGCCATTAAACACACTAAAGATTGATAACCCAAATTAATTTTTCATGGATATGATACCAACATCAAATCATATATCAGACGTCACCCTATTCCCACTGGATTTTGAAGAAGCCATAAACAGTATGCTTATGCACTCAGCACCAGGCCCGGATTCTTGGAACTCCATATTCATAAAGAACTGTAAAAAACCACTATCGCAGGCCCTCCACATTCTGTGGAGACAAAGCCTAGATACTGGCGTTATTCCTGATATACTAAAAACATCAGAGATAGCACCACTTTATAAAGGAGGAAATAAGACAGATGCAAAAAATTACAGACCGATAGCACTAACATCGCACATCATAAAAATTTTTGAGAGAGTGCTAAGAAGTAAGATCACAAAATACATGGAATCACAGCATCTCCATAACCCCGGACAACATGGTTTCAGAACAGGTCGCTCTTGCCGGTCACAGTTGCTGGACCACTATGATATGGCATTAGATGCTATGGAAGACAAACAAAACGCTGATGTAATTTACACAGATTTCGCAAAAGCTTTTGATAAATGTGACCATGGTGTTATTGCACATAAAATGCGTTCAAAAGGAATTACCGGAAAAATAGGCAGATGGATCTACAATTTCCTGACCAACAGAACCCAATGTGTAATAGTCAACAAAATAAAATCCAGCCCATCAACCGTGAAGAGCTCAGTCCCCCAATGTACTGTGCTTGATCCAGTACTTTTTCTCATCCTCATATCGGACATAGACAAGAACACAACCTATAGCACTGTATCATCCTTTGCAGATGACACTAGGATCTTCATGAGAGTTGGCAACATAGAGGACACGGCGAACCTCCAGTCAGATGTAGATCAGGTCTTTCTATGGGCTACAGAAAATAATATGGTGTTTAACGAAGATAAGTTCCAGCTCATGCGCTATGGAAAAAATGAAAATATAAAAACGGAAACCACGTACAAAACTCAGGCAAATCATAACATAGAACGAAAAGGCAATGTAAAGGATCTGGGTGTACTCATGTCGGAAGACCTTACCTTTAAAGACCACAATAAAGTAGCCGTCACAACTGCAAGAAAAATGACAGGTTGGATAACAAGAACTTTTCACACTAGAGATGCTATACCGATGATGATACTTTTCAAAACGCTTGTGCTCTCTAGAGTGGAGTACTGCTGCATAATGACAGCACCTTTCAAAGCTGGAGAAATTGCTGACCTGGAGAGCGTGCAGAGATCCTTTACTGCTAGAATCCACTCAGTAAAACATCTAAACTATTGGGACCGACTAAAGAGCCTAAAACTGTACTTCCTTGAGCGCAGGCGGGAGAGGTACATAATAATTTACACGTGGAAAATATTAGAGGGGCTGGTCCCAAACATGCACACAGAAATAACATCACATGAGACCAGAAGACATGGCAGGATGTGCAGAATACCCCCGTTGAAAAACAGAGGTGCAACTGGTACTCTGAGAGAGAACTCTATCAACATCAGAGGTCCGAGACTGTTCAACACGCTTCCACTACACATAAGGGGCATAACTGGCCGACCCCTCACAGTGTTCAAGAGAGAACTGGATAAGCACCTCCAAAGGATACCTGATCAACTAGGCTGTGACTCATACGTCAGGCTGCGAGCAGCCGCGTCCAACAGCCTGGTTGATCAGTCCGGCAACCAGGAGGCCTGGTCGATGACCGGGCCGCGGGGACGCTAAGCCCCGGAAGCACCTCAAGGTAACCTCAAGGTAAGCCCCCGGGGCCGTCCCAATAAAAGGGTGTTTCATTACGTTCAATGCTGGCATTTTATAGGAGCCCCATTGATGCTCGCTAAAAACATAGAAAGAAAAACAGGGACTTACCCAGGAGGCGGCGACATTGCAGGTCTCAAAGCGAAGAAGGAACCGATGGCTGCGACAGACGGCCCAAAGCGGCACAAGTCCGGAAAAGCCCCAATTGTTCACAAGATATCTGTCATCAAGGACCCTGTTC